CCTTGGACAAGTCACATTCTCTCAGCCTCAGAGGATGGCAATGGCAAATGGCACTGGGTGACCTTGGGCAAGTCACATTCTCTCAGCCTCAGAGGATGGCAATGAAGAAACATGCCAAGAAAACCCCATAATAGGTTCATCTTAGGATGGTCATAAGTCAGAAATGACTTGAAAGCACGCAACAACAACAACAACAACAACAACAGACCAAACCCTAATTGTTAAGTGATTTTGATTCAGAGGAAAAGAAAGACATATGCAAGCTGCAACCCTGCATGGATCATGTAGAACTTCTGCATATGGAACTAGACTATACTGAGCCATTTATCACCTCCCAAAACTACCAGGATCCCATCCATTGTCATTAATGTCTGGACGAGAGGGGGGATTGCAGAAGCATCTGTCTATATCTCCATAGCCAGATGTAAAATGGTTACAACACCTGCACAGATCTGCCAGCCCCCCCCCCCCCCCCGGTCTCAGCACTTGATGCAATAGCCTTGCATCTGGCTACAGGGACACAGCCAGACGCTTCTGTGATGTATGTGCCTCCCCTGCCAAACTGTCTGCCAGACATGAATAGCTGTAGGTGGGTGGCTTCAATGGCACTATGGGGGAGGGGGGGGGCGTTGGTCACTTGCAAAGGGACCAAAAGACATGTCAACCTCTGGCAATACAGGCATTAGCCAAATACAGGCATAGAGTTAATCTATGTCTGTGTATACCACAAACAGAATGCCAACCATTGTGGCATTCTCCAAGCCCTGATGATACTGCCTCCCATTCTCTACATAAGAAAACATCAGGTTCTCTGGTGCTTCTCTGATGCCCCTTTCTCTCCACTGGCCACTACATGGCTGTGGAGGAGGTTGTCCCCATAGGAGGCAGTTGAGTCCTTGCAGTAAGGAAAAGAAGAGACATGTTGTATTTCTGCCAAGGCAGAAGTTTACAATGTCTCTCAGTGCAGGATCTGAGCCAATATCACTCTGTCCACAAATACCACAACTAATGAGAGTTCACTTTGGACAAATGAGAAAAAGCCATATCTTACAACAAACTTTGTGGGGCAGGTTGCCAATACTAGTATTAGTTTTGATGAAATCATCTTCATGGGTTTTTCTATTTTTGCAAGCAAGCCAACCTCAAATTAGAACTCCTAAACCCTGCGATCCAAGACCACCTCTACTGCTTGGGAATGGGCAAAAGGACACCAAACATGTCCTTATAACATAAGTTCCTCCACAAAGAAAGGAACAACTTTCTCCTTCTATCCATCCCAGGTGTGCAATAGATAGATACAAGGCAGTAGGGTATGACAATGCAGATTGGAATATTTGCAGGCTCTGTGCCATGGCTCTATTCCCAGAGCAGCCTTTTAAAAGTACTTTCGGAAGAAAAGGAGGAAGAGGACAAAGTGCTCTCAGACTGTCAGTGCAATGCATAAATATCAGGGTGGTGTTTTTTGTGTGAACCCATTTGTTTTTATAAGATTTCTGGCTCATGAGATTGACAGATATTGTGTATGCGGAATTGTGGAAAGGAAGGGAGACCCTGGAGGTTTGCACACCTCTACTGCACCTGCTCCCACAAAAGCAGAAAATGATGGGCATTTTCACCATGTTTTGGGGTCTTCCTGGGCCATTTTAGGGAGGGAGAGGCCTTTTTTTGACAACAGGAAATGAGCAGAAATCACTTCCTGTTCAATTCCTGATTCAAAGGAGGATACTCTTGGGGTTAAATTGGTGGCAAAACATGGTGGGGCATGCGGAGGCCAAAAAAAGATTGTTTGAAAAAAAGTGCACAAATTGT